ATCCATGGAGAATAGGATCAATAGACTTCATTATCGGTGGAGAACAGCCTCGGCCTGATTCCGTTAACTGTAGCCTTCAGAATGGAAAGAAAATGGCATTTCGCATAAATTGCCCGAAATCTGTGATGGTACCCCTTTGGAATCTACCCAAAATTGACTCAGAATAAAACCGCCCAAATCGATGGTTAATGGACTCAATCATCGGTGGAGAATAGCCTCTGGTTAAATCCGTGATCTGTCGCCTTCAATATCCAAAGAAAATGGCCTTTCGACGCCCAAGAAATTACGAAAATGTCATCCGAAAATAAATTGGCCCAAATCGATGCGTAACGGACTTATCATCCGTGGAGAATAGGATCAATAGACTTCGTTATCGGTGGAGAATAGCCTCCGCCTGCTTCCGTGATGTGTAGCCTCCAGAATCGAAAGAAAATAGCATTTCGGATAAATCGCCCGAAATCTGTGATAGTAACCCTATGGAATCAGCCCAAAATTGACCTGGAATAAATCCGATCAAATCATTGCTTAATGGACTCAATCATCGTTGGAGAATAGCCACAGGCTGAATTCGTGATCTGTCGCCTTCAATATCCAAAGAAAATGGCCTTTCGTCAACCAAGAAATTACGAAAATGTCATCCGAAAATAAATTGGCCCAAATCGATGCTTAACAGACTTTTCATCCGTGGAGAATAGGATCAATAGACTTCGTTATCGGTGGAGAATAGCCTCCGCCTGATTCTTTGATCTGTAGCCTCCAGAATCGAAAGAAAATGGCATTTCGGATAAATCAACAGAAATCTGTGATGTTACCCCTTTGGAATCTGCCAAAAATTGACCCGGAATAAAGCCGCCCAAATCGGTTCTTAATGGACTCAATCATCGTTGGAGAATAGCCTAAGGCCGAATCCGTGATCTGTCGCCTTCAATATGCAAAGAAAATGGTCTTTCGTCGCCCAAGAAATTACAAAAATGCCATCCGGTAATAAATTGGCCCAAATCGATGCTTAACGGACTTATCATCCATGGAGAATAGGATCAATAGACTTCATTATCGGTGGAGAACAGCCTCGGCCTGATTCCGTTATCTGTAGCCTCCAGAATCGAAAGAAAATGGCATCTCGGATAAACAGCCGAAATATGTGATGGTACCCCTTTGGAATCTGCAAAAAATGTACCCGGAATAAATTCGCCCAAATCGTTGCTCTATGGACTCAATCATCGTTGGAGAATAGCCTCACGCTGAATTCGTGATCTGTCGCCTTCAATATCCAAAGAAAATGGCCTTTCGTCGCCCAAGAAATTACGAAAATTCCATCCGAAAATAAATTGGCCCAAATCGATGCTTAACGGACTTATTATCCGTGGAGAATAGGATCAATAGACTTCGTTATCGGTGGAGAATAGCCTCCGCATGATTCCGTGATTTGTAGCATCCAGATTCGAAAGAAAATGGCATTTCGGATAAATCGCCCGAAAACTGTGATGGTACCCCTTTGGAATCTGCCAAAAATTGACCCTGAATAAATCCGCTCAAATCAGTGGTTAATGGACTAAATCATCGTTGGAGTATAGCCTCAGGCTGAATCCGTGATCCGTCGCCTTCAATATCCAAAGAAAATGGCCTTTCGTCGCCCAAGAAATTACGAAAATGTCATCCGAAAATAAATTGTCACAAGTCGATGCTTAACGGACTTATCATCCGTGGAGAATAGGTCCAATAGACTTCGTTATCGGGGGAGAATAGCCTCGGCCTGATTCTATGATCTGTACCCTCTAGAATCGAAAGAAAATGGCATTTCGGATAAATTTCCCAAAATCTGTGATGGTACCCCTTTGGAATCTGCCAAAAATTGACCAGGAATAAATCCGCCCAAATCGCTGCTTAATGGACTCAATCATCGTTTGAGAATAGCCTCAGGCTGAATCCGTGTTCTGTAGCCTTCAATATCCAAAGAAAATCGCTTTTCGTCGCCCAAGGAATTACGAAAATGCCATCCGAAAATAAATTGGCCCAAATCGATGCTTAACGGACTTATCATCCGTGGAGAATAGGATCAATAGACTTCGTTATCGGTGGAGAATAGCCTCCGCCTGATTCCGTGATCTGTAGCCTCCAGAATCGAAAGAAAGTTTCATTTCAGATAAATCGCCCGAAATGTGTGATGGTACCCCATTGGAATCAGCCAAAAATTGACCCGGAATAAATCCGCCCAAATTGGTGCTTAATGGACTCAATCATCGTTGGAGAATAGCCTCAGGCAGAATCCGTGATCTGTAGCCTTCAATATCCAAAGAAAATGGCCTTTCCTCACCCAAGAAATTACGAAAATGCCATCCGAAAATAAATTGGCCCAAATCGATGCTTAACGGACTTATCATCCGTGGAGAATAGGATCAATAGACTTCGTTATCGGTGGAGAATAGCCTCCGCCTGATTCCGTGATCTGTAGCCTCCAGAATCGAAAGAAAGTTTCATTTCGGATAAATCGCCCGAAATGTGTGATGGTACCCCATTGGAATCAGCCAAAAATTGACCCGGAATAAATCCGCCCAAATTGGTGCTTAATGGACTCAATCATCGTTGGAGAATAGCCTAAGGCCGAATCCGTTATCTGTCGCCTTCAATATGCAAAGAAAATGGTCTTTCGTCGCCCAAGAAATTACGAAAATGTCATCCGATAATAAATTGGCCCAAATCGATTCTTAACGGACTTATCATCCATGGAGAATAGGATCAATAGACTTCATTATCGGTGGAGAACAGCCTCGGCCTGATTCCGTTATCTGTAGCCTCCAGAATCGAAAGAAAATGGCATCTCGGATAAATAAGCTGACATCTGTGATTAGGGGTGGCTATACGGTCCAGTCCGGTTAAATTGGCCCAAATTGATCCGGTCCAGTCCGGTTTTTTTGAAAATATAAGGACCGAAGATTGGATTGGATACAGTCCGGTCTTGATCCGGTCTGGTCTTGACCCGGTCCGGTCCCAATTCGGTCTTGGTTTTATATTGAGATTGTGGGAATTTGAGTGGCCTAAGGCCTAAAAGGGTGAGGAGTTGGTTAAGTTTTGTACTAAGTGCAAAGGTTTGTGACCGTTTATGCAAATTACCCTCAAGTTTTAGATGTTGAGCTCTCTTATCCGGTCTTTATCCGGTTTTTTACCTCAAATCTAAGCCCAAAGATTGGATTGGATTGTTTACTATCCGGTCCCGGTCCGGTCTCGGTCCGGGTTATACGGTCCGGTTTCCGGTTTTTCATCCGGTTCCGGTCCAAATAGCCACCCCTATCTGTGATGGTACCCCTTTGGAATCTGCCAAAAATTGACCCGGAATAAAGCCGCCCAAATCGGTGCTTAATGGACTCAATCATCGTTGGAGAACAGCCTCAGGCCGAATCCGTGATCTGTAGCCTTCAATATCCAAAGAAAATGGCCTATCGTCGCCCAAGAAATTACGAAAATTCCATCCGAAAATAAATTGGCCCAAATCAATGCTTAACGGACTTATCATCCGTGGAGAATATGATCAATAGACTTCGTTATCGGTGGAGAATAGCCTCCGCATGATTCCGTGATTTGTAGCCTCCAGAATCGAAAGAAAATAGCATTTCGGATAAATCGCCCGAAATCTGTGATTGTACACCTTTGGAATCTGCCCAAAATTGACCCTGAATAAATCCGCCCAAATCAGTGGTTAATGGACTAAATCATCGTTGGAGTATAGCCTCAGGCTGAATCCGTGATCCGTCGCCTTCAATATCCAAAGAAAATGGCCTTTCGTCGCCCAAGAAATTACGAAAATGTCATCCGAAAATAAATTGGCCCAAGTCGATGCTTAACGGACTTATCATCCGTGGAGAATAGGATCAATAGACTTCGTTATCGGAGGAGAATAGCCTCGGCCTGATTCCGTGAAATGTAGCCTTCAGAATCGAAAGAAAATTTCATTTCTGATAAATCACCCGAAATTTATGATGGTACCCCTTTGAAATCTTCCAAAAATTGACCCGAAATAAATCCGCCCAAATTGGTGCATAATGGACTCAATAATCGTTGGAGAATAGCCTCAGGTCGAATCCGTGAACTGTAGCCTTCAATATCCAAAGAAAATGGTCTTTTGTCGCCCAATAAATTAATAAAATGCCATTCAAAAATAAATTGGCCCAAATCAATGCTTAACGGACTTATCATCCATGGAGAATAGGATCAATAGACTTCATTATCGGTGGAGAACAGCCTCGGCCTGATTTCGTTATCTGTAGCCTTCAGAATCGAAAGAAAATGGCATTTCGGATAAATCACCCGAAATCTGTGATGGTACCCCTTTGGTAGGGGTGGACGTTCGGTCGGTTCGGTTTGAACCGAACCGAAATAGGGTATGCCGAATTTCCGAAAAGACACACACCACAACCGAATTCGAACCGGTCTATAATTTGGTTCGGTTCGACCGAACCGAATTATAGATCGGTTCAGTTCGTTTTCCCAGGTATAACCGAAATACCTGTTGGGGACCTGCTGAGTTTTTTTTCCAATTTTGGTGCTTCTGTTCTGCTGCCTTTTGGACAATATGGTTGCTGTATTTTTGTGTCTCATTTAAGTTGTTTATCACCTAACATTTAAATTTTATAGATCAAATACAATTAATTAAAACAAGCATTCAAAGTTGAAAGATAATCAATGTCCACCTTCCAAATATTCAACACAAACACAATACATCAAGTCCTTCCAAATAGTCATTACAATACAAATGGTTTTAAATTCAAACTAACATGAGAAAGGTAACCAAATAACCAATGTCTAAATTCCAATCATAACTTGTAGAAACTCCAAAGATCTTGTTTCTTAGCTCTTCACTCTTGGACAATTGAGACCTTTGAAATCAAAAATAGTACAAGGAACATGAAACAAAACAATGATGGTTAGTGACTAATATGTATAAAGCTAATTACAAATAATCAAGTAGAATAGAATAAAATCTCAACTTCTTACCTCTAAAGTCATCAATCGTGCATAGAAACATCGGAATTTTCACCACAAGCACTACTAGATGCACTACCATCGTTCCTCCTTCCACTTGAACTTGGTACATTGGAAGTCGAGGTAGATGAAACAAGATTATCTCTTATGGAGATTGCATTCATCAACTTGTCCAATTCTGCAAGATTAAAAAGACTCAAAATTAGTCATGACATACAAATTAATCATGTAATAAATATGTAATGCTAGATTTAAGACTTTACCTTCATCTATTTTCTCAACCTCTTCTGGATCCTCCTCGACTGATTGTGGTGCAGAATCACCTCGAATCCAATCCGAGCTACAAATTAAGGCCTCCACTATCTTAGGAGTCAACGAACTTCTGAAATCATCTAGAATCCTCCCACCAGCGCTAAAGGCAGATTCGGATGCAACGGTAGAGATTGAGACCGCTAAAACATCCTTAGCCATCATGGAAAGGGCTGGAAACCTCAAGCTGTTAACCTTCCACCAACCAAGTACATCAAACTTGAGCACCATTGGTTCGTCGTCCTCACGAAGGTATTTCTCAAGCTCGGATTTGTTTACCGCTCCTACCATTTGCTCTCTATGCTTTTTGTATTCAGCAAGTACATCAAGCTCGTCCCCATCACCCTCCTCCACAATTGGGGCCAAAGAAGTAGAGGCATTCTTGCTTTGTTTTGACTTCCAAAGCTGTTCATAGTGAGCAAATAGATCAAATGTAGCGGTCTTCACATCCCCCGCCATACGTGCTCCCTTGCCACCCTCAGGATACACCCTTTTCAAAGCAAAGTCAACAAAACCCATCTTGTACCTCGGATCCATTACAGTGGAGATGTAAAGTAGCTTGTTCATTTTATCCACATCTCCCCAATACTTCTCGTACTTCATCTTCATCTTGCTAGCCATGATACTCAAGTCGAGATCTTTCTCAACTTCCGTCTCCCACTTGGTTATCAAATGATATAGGGAATGCACTTCTTGTAAGAACAAGTTAGAAGTAGTATATTTTGAGCCCGAGATCTTCAAGGTGAATTCGTAAAACCGACCAAGAAATCCCATCATTCTCCTTGCATTCTCCCAATCATCCTTCTCCGGGACCCCAATTATGCCATGTCTATCCTTCTTGCTTTCCAAATCCTTTCGAAAATGGTCATCATACATGTCAAACATCATGAAGACCTTTTCAAACCTCTCAGCAGCCTGCAACATCAAGAATGTCGAGTTCCATCTAGTAGGAACATCAAGACACAATCCACGTTTGCCCTCTACCTTTTGAACAGTAGCAAACTCATGAAATTTTTTCAACCTTTCTGGTGAATTTCTAATAAACCTAACTGCTTCTCTAATTCTCTTCACCGACAAGGAAATATCTCCAAGCCCATCAGACACAACCAGATTTAAAATGTGAGCTACACATCTCATGTGAAGGAATTCACTATCACAAATACTAGTCCCCCTAGTATTGAAAACTTCCTTCAATTTGGCCACAGCTGTATCATTAGAGCTAGCATTATCCACAGTAATTGTGAAAACCTTCTCCCCCAATCATCCAAACAAGCAATAATACCATCAGCAATATCTACCCCTTTATGACCTTTAAGTTCCCCAAAATTGATGATCTTCTTTCTCAAATTCCAATCTTGATCAATAAAGTGGGCAGTTAGGCACATAAAGCTATCTTGCTTATTCGAAGTCCATGCATCAGTAGTCAAACAAATTCTCCCTTCAGCACTTTGAAAATACTTTTTCAACTTGTCTTTCATTTCACTATAGAAGGCAAAGCAATCCCTAGTGATTGTTCTCCTAGAAGGAATGTTGAACATAGGGCAGCATAGTGACATGAAGTACTTAAAACCCATCCCATCAACAAACTTGAATGGTTTTTCATCAACAATGAGCATGTAAGCTAACCCCTTTCTAGTAGCTTCTTGATTAAACTTCCAGTTTGTTAAAGTACCTTCACCTTCTACCCCAATTTTCCCTAAGTTCAAGAGTTGTTGAGTAGTACCTTTCTTTTCACCACAACCCTTTCGCATATGAACATTCATGGCATTGGTACCATTAAGAAATGGATCGGCCTCATACTCCTTCCCACACTTCATACACCTTGACATTTTGTATCCATCCGGGGCCAAGAATTTTGTAAATTGAGTCCAACATACAGCTCTTGACTTCATCTCCTTTCTTTTCGGTTTAAGAGGTTTTTTGGTAGTAGAGCCGGAGCGGACAGCAGGAGCTTCGGCTTCATCCACGGGAGGATCACCGGCTGTTGAATCATCTTCCTATAGCACCATCAATAAAAACAAGAATTAGCCATTAAGCAAATCCTCCTCGGCTGATTGTCCAATAAAAACAAGCAAGACATAGACATTAAGCAACATACAAACCATTATGCCTTAAAAACAAGCATTAGACATAGACATTAAGCAACATACACAAACCATTATGCCTTAATTCAACAAATCAGCTATGTCCTGGCATCAAATTCAAACCTAACATCTTTGAGTAAAATGAATCATGTTCCCACCCATTTTCAACCACGCACTAGTATAGAGATAGGGGGATCATTCTCGACAGTCAACAACCTACCAAGACATGGACGTCCACTTGCTCGTTCGGATTCTGTTGACCGTCGGCGTCGGTGTTGGTGGAGCTGCGGCTGCCGGTGTTTTTCTTTGGCCTTCGACTGGTCGTCATCTTCCTGGCCTTCGAATTTGGGGAAAAAATCCCAAAGTACACACGTTCTTAAAAAAAATTCCCAAAATACATAAGTTATAAAAAAAATTCCAAAACTACACATGTTTGAGCATCACCGTTTTTGACAAAGGCGGTCAAGATAATCACCGCGTTTGTCAAAGACGGTGAATATTTCACCGTTTAAAACAAAAACGGTGACGTATTCACCGCCTTTATCTAAAACGGTGATGTATTCACCGCGTTTGTGGAAGACGGTGAATGCATCACCATTTTTGTTGACAACGGTGATTACCTTCACCGTTTTAGGGTAAAGCGGTGATATACTACCACGTTTCCCACCCCTGGTAGGTCAAAATTAGGTCACACCTACCTATTGTTCACCGTTTGAGACAAACGCGGTGATGGTGTTCACCGTTTTTGACAAAAACGGTGAATAATAGGCAGATTTTCCTATAAATACCAACCCACCAGCAGAAGCAAAAACATAACCACTCCCCCCCTTCTTCAAATTTCAGCAACAAAAATCGAGCATAATACACAGAACAGACATTTTTCGGTATGTTGAGACTTTTCGTATTATTGTCTAATTCTGTTTTTAGTAGTTATAGTATGATTAAATTTTCGTATTATGTTGTTGTTAGTTAGTTGAATTTATGTTCGTTAGTTATAGTATGATTTAATTTTCGTATTATGTTGTTGTTAGTTAGTTGAATTTATTTTCGTTAGTTATGAGATGGACAATATTAGTTGTACAATATGATTTTGGTTAATTTTACTGTCTTTAAGCTAATATATACTTATCCTCGATTTGTAGATATGGGTAAATTCAAGAAGTTTCATCTTACTATTCGGTGGAATGGAAGGGTGACAAACTCTAACATAGGCATTGATTATGAGGACGGCGAATCCATTATGCTGAACATTGGTTCCCGATTCAATTTTCAAGAACTCTGTGATCTTTGTGCAGAAAGGGTTTGTACGAGCGGACAGACGAGACTTGGCAAAATTACTTACCGGTATCCAGACATGAGTGCTGGCGGGGTCGTTTTCCAAGAAGTTGTCATAAACGATGATGACGCGGTTACGATGATGTTACAGTTCCTAAGCGATAACCAAGTCCGGCTTGCAGAGGTGTATGTTGAGACCGAGGCGGTCGGTGAATCTCATTCTCACCAGTATTCTTATGATGATGGTTTTGCAGGAGGGTACGAATGGGGTGGTAGTTCGAGCAACTACCAAGGCGGTGGTTATACAAGAGGTTACGGGGAGGGTGGTGGTTCAATCAACTACGGTGGATCGAGTAGTGCAGGATGGGACAAATACTCGCAACCTCCTAAACCAGCCCCATTTGTTGAGGCCGATGGTGTTCAATGGCCTGCTTGGGGGCCAGAGTGGTATGGAATCGAGAATACCATTCAATCAGGGCGTACTTCACATGAGCGAGAGGACGATGTTGGTGATCGTGGTCATGTTGATCCTTCTAGCCCGAGCTATCCATTCGAGTCGAGCGACGAGGATACTGAGGAAGATTTGAGATCAGTGAGCGAGGAGGAGGAAGATACTGATGATAACGAGGATGAGGCGGCATTTCGTGAGGCACCCACGCCATATTACACACAGGTTCCAACTCAATTTTTACCAACTAGTTCCAGATGGGGCATTGCAACTACCAACCATGGAGAAAGTATAAATAATGTGTACAAGGGTCTTCGAGCGATGCCTATTTCTGTCATTGTGGAGATGTCTTACTGGAAGGTCAACGAGTGGCGAGTTGCTCGGCTACAGCTAGCAATAGGGAGGGAGTTGCAAGGTCATTCAATAGCACATGACGTATTCGCTCAAATGCAGAAGAACGATGAAAAATCAAGTAAGCATAAGGTTGTTCTTTTTGACCGCAGTGAAGGAATATTCGCTGTCGAAACAGGTATATGGGGTGGAGGGAGACGTGGTCACAATCGTCAAACGGTTAAATTGCACTACGAATTAGGGGAGTGTTCTTGTCAAAAGTATCAGAACGAAAGGATACCCTGTTCACATGCAATGGCGGTTGCTAAGTCAATAACCATGAACAGAAACAGCCTGGTGAGTCCTTACTACACTGAGCAAGCGATACGGAACTCATATAATGCAGCTTTGAGCCCCATGCCAGATGAAGCGTATTGGCCTATATACGCTGGAAAGTTGATTATCCCACCGTTGCACCTAAAACGCACCAAAGGCCGTCCTAGAGTTGAAAGGATACACAATGAGATGGATCAAGTTGAACGGACGAGAAGGGGTCCGAAGCGATGCTCTAAGTGCAGACAACCTGGTCACGACAAGAGGCGTTGCCCAGGACAACCATCAACTTAATTTGCATTTACTTGTATTCTGCTACTAAATTGATCGCTTGTTTAATTTTTCATTACCGTTTGCATCTGAATTCTAAGTATTTTGTTGTTTCTAAAATGTTGTCCTTGTCGATACGATCGCGCTACCGCAAACGGCTCGTTATTTCGACCACAAACGAATAAGATACGCGCGTTTTAGTTTTTAGTACGCAAAAGTACGTTTAACGTTACGATCGCGCTTTGACGTCACTTATCTCACTCGTTTGGAATCGGAATTGGGATCTGTAAAATTCTATGCCTTCGTGGTTGATTTTCCCAACTTTTTCGTGTTGAGGGAAGATACTGATTCTTGATAAAATGATACAGAAAATTCATTCGATAACTTAAGTGCGTAGGATAGTTTTTAGACAATGCAAACTCAAAATTAAACACCTAAAAAGCACAAAAACAACATGGATAGATCACTACAATGATAAAACGATAAATTCACTCATTTGCTTCATTTTGGCCCCCATCTCCACCTCTTCCTCCTCGTCCTCCACGACGTCCTCGACCCCGTCTTCCCCCCTCCGCCGCTGCTTCTTGGCGGGCTCGCTCAACGACTGGTCGCGGATTTCTCTTGACCCGAGCCCCAATTGGGGTTACATATGGTGGTGGTGGTGGCTGAGATGGAGCGGTAGCTTGGCGAATGATCGGAGGTTGCGGAGTTTGTTGATGCGGGGTCTGATACATCGAACTCTGTTGCTGATGTTGGAATTGAGAGAACCCATGAGAGAAAGTGTCCCATTCCTGAGATGGTCCACGACTCGATGACCCTCCACCGACATCCGCTGCAGGTGCCCACTGGTACTCGAAGGCTTCTGGGAGCTTGGTTGCTTGAGTTGTACGCACCTCATCGAACGTAGGCAGAGGCCTGCGTTTGCTCCTTCGTGGGGGCTCAACCGGGGGCACAATGGGTGCATCATCACGGAATGAGGGTCGTGCCGGGGCAGGAACGGGAGGATATGCCACGACATCCCTCCTTTGCTCTCTGGTGCAACTCAGGAGGTTGTTCATAAGTCGGCTCAACCAAGTAGTCTTCCGCTCATCCATGGTTGGAGCACTTTCGAGAGTGTACTTGGCGTGTTCCAAACCATCAACCTAAGGAAAGCACAAAATGTATAAAATTAACTAACATAAACCTTAAAATAAATATATTTTAGAATGAGGGAGATTAGGATGACTTACCAACGAACCCATCACAGCACCTTGCTTCGACACCCATCTCATGGTGAACTTCCGATACCACTGCATGTACCCATCGTGGTAGCCCATCGGTCTCGTCTCCGGCATCCCTTGCACCACCCATTGGTGTCGATTCTCCCAGATGTTGATGTAGAATCCATGCTTTCGCTGCCAGTTCTTTGACGAATGTCGGAGGTCGATAGCATGTAGCTCCCTGAAACCTGCTGGCGGGTCTTGTGGAATTGGTTGCTCCATTCGATATTGCCTCAGGGATCGATCGGGAAGGTGCCATTCCACCATGTGCCAGCAGATTAATGGCACCTTGCACAACCATGTGTCGTGATCCAGAGGGTGCCTAAGATGATGCAGCTCAACCACTTCACGTGGATATGGATCCCATATAACCTATATCCATTCAAAAAATCGGAATTAACTACCATTTACTTTGACAAAATTTAACTTGTTCAAATATGGACAAAACATGATTACCTGATTCCACCATGGTTTATCTAACTCAGAACGATAAAACAGTAACGAATGCTCAGGTTGATGGTCATTCGTATTTGCTCCTATCCACCTTGTAAGTAAAAGTACGGAATCAATTTAATTGAAATATAGCTAAGCATATAATAAATTAAATTGGTCTAAGACGGAATAAATTCAATTTAAATCTAGCTAAGCATGTAATCAAAATTAAATTGGGCTAAGTACGGGATAAATTCAATTTATTTCTAGCTCAAGCATGTGTAATAAAATTTAAATCGAGCTAAGTACGAAATAAACTTACTTGACACCGTATGGGAGATTTTGCAGAAAGTTGAGCTCATCATCGTTTCTCCGGTATGGACGTGGGTCGGCAGGTGCGAACATTGGAAGATGCTCCCATACCCACAGTTGCAGGATGAACATCGCAGCACCAGCTTGCTTTGCCCCAACCTTCGAGCAAGTACACAGCTCCCGGTATACACCCGCTAGCACGGCCGATCCCCAACTCTTCTCTCCAATTGCATCCCAGTCACCAGTGAGCAATGGCAACCATATGCCTTGAATCCACCGGTTGGACTTGTCGGGGAACAAAAATCCACCCACCAAACCGATGAGGTAGATGCGGGCGTAGCGCTCGACTTGTTCTTCCGGTGTCTCGTCATTGATCACAACCTCTTGCTGGATGTGAGACACCAGCCACGGGACCGACACTTGGCCCGCATTCAACGGTGGATGCCCCCGTCCTTGAATTGGAGTGGTGGTCGGCATGTCAAAGCCCAAACGATCACGGATGAGCGGCCCCCAACCTCCTTCGGGTTTGGTCTGGGGACCAATGACGGCATCCCCAGAAATAGGCATCCCGGTGAGGATCGCCACGTCTTTGAGGGTGATCGTCATTTCCCCCTCCGGAAGGTGGAACGTATGGGTTTCGGGACGCCATCGTTCCGCCATTGCCGTAAGCAGATCGTTGTCGATTTCGATCCGCAAGAAATGGCGCAACATTCCCAAACCTGTCCTCGCTATATAGGGCTCCAACCTTGGATGCCAAGCGGGCAAGTTATTGGTCCCTTTATGAACCACGGGAACAAGCGATTCCTAAAAAAAATAGGGAAAACAACAATTTATTAGATTAAATAAAGCAAAATAAAACCTTAGAAAATAATAAAATAAAGCAAGAATACTCAAAAAATTACCGGATTGTTATCCCAAATAGCACGGGAGCGATGAGCTACTTGATCGGTTAAGAGACTCGCATCCCTTGGGCCATAATGGATATACAATCGAGGATCGTATATCTCGGCACCCATCTATAAAAAAGTAATGAAATCAGAGATTGTTTTGATAAAAATAAAACAAAAAATCATATTATTTCGATTAAAAAAAATTCATAAACAAAAAACCTACACGAAGAGCCTCTTCGTCCATTTTTTGGCGTAGGCCGGACAGAGGTTCGACGAGTTTAGGTTTGAGCGGGACGGGAACTTAGCGGGACGGGGGCTTTAGGGTCAAACTCTAGTAATTCTTTCTGATGTGGAAGATCGGACTTAGCCGCAACCACAGAGCATACTTAGAACGAGACTAGAGCGGATAAATTGAGGGAGAAAGAAGTGAAATGTTTGTGGGGTGAGTTGAAAGTGAAAGGGGAAGGGGGTATTTATAGTTGGGGGAAGGGGGAAGTGATCTGCCGAGAATTAAATTCTCCCAGCCTTCACCGCGTCGAACAGAAACGGTGAAGTCACCGCGTTTCTCGAGGACGGTGATATGGCGCGGATCGAGCGACTTGGCTCAGCGTGAGGCGTCGGATCTGGAAAGAAAACCACGATCCGCGCCTCACCGTATCCAACGGCCACGGTGAACGCGCCAGCGACGCGGATCGCTGACGCAAACAAACACGGGGTATTCACCGTGTTTGTCCAACGCGGTGAATACCCCGCGTTAGTCCACGTCAGCGCCTTCACCGTTGACCACTTAAACGGTGAAGGATTCACCGTTTTTGCCTAAAACGGTGAAGTATTCACCGTCTCTGTTTAAAACGGTGAATACTTCACCGTTTTATACAAAAACGGTGAATAATTCACCGTTGTATTTTAGAACGGTGAAATATTCACCGTCTTTGACAAACGCGGTGATAACCTTCACCGCTTTTGTCAAACACGGTGATGCCCAAACATGTGTACTTTTGGAATTTTTTTTATAACATGTATTTTGGGAATTTTTTTTAAAAACTAGTGTACTTTGGGATTTTTTCCCGAATTTGGAGTGTGGGACTGCCGGACTAGGAGGCGCGACTCGCGAGTGGTGGCTGTGTCAGCGGGAGAGGTCTGCCGTCTCTAAGAGGGAGGCGGCGGCCGGCGAGTGGAGTGGCGCTGGTCGCTGGGGAGTGGAGTGATTCTGGGAGAGAGAGATGGAGGAAGCTGACTGTTGGCGCTGGTCGCTGGGGAGTGGAGTGATTCTGGGAGAGAGAGATGGAGGAAGCTGACTGTTGAGAGTCGAGGTCTCGAGGAGGGAGAGGCCTTGGGTTGGGGCGCCGTCGGGGAAACGGCGAAACGCCGTCGGGGAGAGGCGCTTGCTGGCGGCTGCGGCGGCTGCTGCTTCGAGTTCGAGTGGAGGAAGCTGGTGGTGGGTCGAGCGTCGGTCGGCACAGCGGCGGCAGGGTCGTCTCACTCTCGTCTCTCGCCCTCTCAGTCTCAGAGACAAAGAATCAAAAACGTGGAAGTGGAAGTGGAACCAACCAATCCTTAGGGTTTTCTCAATTGTGGGCTTGTAATTGGGCTTTACTTAGGGGCTTGGGGCAAGGAGGTTGGGCTTGGGTTGGGTGGGTAGTAGGCCTGGCCTGCTGAAGTCTGAAAAGGTTTGGGTTAATGGGTCATTGGGTTGGGGCTTTTAATTTCGGTAATTCGGTCGGTTTTTCGGTTTTTCGGTTTGGTTTAAACGAAGTTGGTTCCCGAATTGTTGGCATTTCTCATCCGAACGCCGAACCTAACAAGGTAAAGTTCGGTTTCGGTCGGTTCTTGCTCGGTTCAGTTCGATTCGGTAAAACCGAACCGCATGCCCACCCCTACCCTTTGGAATCTGCCCAAAATTGACTCGGAATAAATCCGCCCAAATCAGTGGTTAATGGACTCAATCATCGTTGGAGAATAGTCTCAGGCTGAATCCGTGATCTGTCGCCTTCAATATCCAAAGAAAATGGCCTTTCGTCGCCCAAGAAATTACGAAAATGTCATCCGAAAATAAATTGGCCCAAATCGATGCTTAACGGACTTATCATCCGTGGAGAATAGGATCTATAGACTTCGTTATCGGTGGAGAATAGCCTCCGCCTGATTCCGTGATGTGTAGCCTCCAGAATCGAAAGAAAATAGCATTTTGGATAAATCACCCGAAATCTGTGATAGTACCCCTTTGGAATCTGCCCAAAACTGACCCGGACTAAATCTGCCCAAATCGTTGCTTAATGGACTCAATCATCGTTGGAGAAGAGCCTCAGGCTGAATTCGCGATCCGTCGCCTTCAATATCCAAAGAAAATGGCCTTTCGTCGCCCAAGAAATTACGAAAATTCCATCATAAAATAAATTGGCCCAAATCGATGTTTAACGGACTTATCATCCTTGGAGAATAGGATCAATAGACTTCGTTATCGGTGGAGAATAGCCTCCGCCTGATTCCGTGATCTGTAGCCTCCAGAATCGAAAGAAAATGGCATTTCGGATAAAGCAGCCGAAATCTGTGATTTTACCCCTTTGGAATCTGCCAAAAATTGACCCGGAATAAAGCCGCCCAAATCGGTGCTTAATGGACTCAATCATCGTTGGAGAATAGCCTAAGGACGAATCCGTGATCTGTCGCCTTCAATATATCAAAGAAAATGGTCTTTCGTCGCTCAAGAAATTACGAAAATGCCATCCGAAAATAAATTGGCCCAAATCGATGCTTAACGGACTTATCATTCATGGAGAATAGGATCAATAGACTTCATTATCGGTGGAGAACAGCATCGGCCTGATTCCGTTATCTATAGCCTTCTGAATCGAAAGAAAATGGCATTTCGGATAAATTGCCCGAAATCTGTGATGGTACCCATTTGGAATCTGCCCGAAATTGACTCGGAATAAATCCGCCCATATCGGTGGTTAATGGACTCAATCATCGTTGCAGAATAGCCTCAGGCTGAATCCGTGATCTGTCGCCTTCAATATCCAAAGAAAATGGCCTTTCGTCGCCCAAGAAATTACGAAAATGTCATACGAAAATAAATTGGCCCAAATCGATGCTTAATGGACTTATCATCCGTGGAGAATATGATCAATAGACTTCGTAATCGGTGGAGAATAGCCTCCGCCTGCTTCCGTGATGTGTAGCCTCCAGAATCGAAAGAAATGTGCATTTCGGATAAATCGCCCGAAATCTGTGATAGTACCCCTTTGGAATCAGCCCAATATTGACCCGGAATAAATCCGCCCAAATCGTTGCTTAATGGACTCAATCATCGTTGGAGAATAGCCTCAGGCTGAATTCGTGATCTGTCGACTTCAATATCCAAAGAAAATGGCCTTTCGTCACCCAAGAAATTACGAAAATTCCATCCGAAAATAAATTGGCCCAAATCGATGCTTAACGGACTTATCATCCGTGGAGAATAGGATCAATAGACTTCGTTATCGATGGAGAATAGCCAATGCCTGATTCTTTGATTTGTAGCCTCCAGAATCGAAAGAGAATGGCATTTCAGATAAATCAACAGAAATTTGTGATGGTACCCCTTTGGAATCTGCCAAAAATTGATGCGGAATAAAGCCGCCCAAATCGGTGCTTAATGGACTCAATCATCATTGGAGAATAGCCTAAGGCCGAATCCGTGATCTGTCACCTTCAATATGCTAAAGAAAATGGTCTTTCGTCGCCCAAGAAATTACGAAAATGCCATCCGATAATAAATTGGCCCAAATCGATGCTTAACGGACTTATCATCCATGGAGAATAGGATCAATAGACTTCATTATCGGTGGAGAATAGCCTCGACCTGATTCCGTTATCTGTAGCATTCAAAATCAAAAGAAAATGGCATTTCGGATAAATTGCCCGAAATGTGTGATGGTACCCCTTTGGAATCTGCCAAAAATTGACTCGGAATAAATCTGCCCAAATCGCTGGTTAATGGACTCAATCATCGTTGGAGAATAGCCTCTGGCTGAATCCGTGATCTGTCGCCTTCAATATCCAAAGAAAATGGCCTTTCGTCGCCCAAGAAATTACGAAAATTTCATACGAAAATAAATTGGCCCAAATCGATGCTTAACGAACTTATCATCCGTGGAGAATAGGATCAATAGACTTCGTAATCGGTGGAGAATAGCCTCCGCCTGCTTCCGTGATGTGTAGCCTCCAGAATCGAAAGAAAAGTGCATTTCGGATAAATCGCCCGAAATCTGTGATAGTACCCCTTTGGAATCAGCCCAATATTGACCCGGAATAAATCCGCCCAAATCATTGCTTAATGGACTCAATCATCGTTGGAGAATAGCCTCAGGCTGAATTCGTGATCTGTCGCCTTCAATATAAAAAGAAAATGGCCTTTCGTCACCCAAGAAATTATGAAAATTTCATCCGAAAATAAATTGGCCCAAATCGATGCTTAACGGACTTATCATCCGTGGAGAATAGGATCAATAGACTTCGTTATCAGTGGAGAATAGCCTCCGCATGATTCCGTGATCTGTAGCCTCAAGAATCGAAAGAAAATGGCATTTTGGATAAATCAGCCGAAATATGTGATGGTACCCCTTTGGATTCTGCAAAAAATGTACCCGGAATAAATCCGCCCAAATCGTTGCTTAATGGACTCAATCATCGTTGGAGAATAGCCACAGGCTGAATTCGTGATCTGTCGCCTTCAATATCCAAAGAAAATGGCCATTCGTCGCCCAATAAATTACGAAAATTCCATCCGAAAATAAATTGGCCCAAGTCGATGCTTAACGGACTTATCATCCGTGGAGA